TGCGCGTGCGCGAGGAAGATGCGGAACACTTCCGGAGCTTTGGAGCGGGCGTCGACGTTGGCGACCCACACATGGCGCGAGTAGGCGTCGATGAAGGTGAGAGTATACTTTTCGCCGTTAATGCCGTCGAAGGTGAGCACGATGAAGTCACTGTATACTTTCTCCAGCTTCTTGTAGCGGTTGGTGCTCGGCTCCAAAGAGGGGTAGGCGCTGTGAGTGAGCGCAGCTGTGGGGTAGATAGTGCAAGTGATCGGGTGTGGGGTGTTGTGTGGTTCTGTTCCGTCGGGGCGCAGCAGTGCTCCTGGCGGGAATACTTTAGCGCGGAGGCAATTGGCGAGGGTCTGGCGCGAGGGATGGTCCAGCCGCTGGTGCCAGAGGTCATCTTCGGCGCGAATGCCGAAGGTGCGCTTGTAGCGAGCGTAATGTTCCGCTACTTCTGCTTCCGTGAGTTGCGGGATCTGGAGTGGGGGTTCTTCCTCTTCTCCTGGTTCCGCTTCGTTGTCCGGCTCCTCTGCTTCTGCTTCTGCTTCTGCCATTGTCTCCCCTTCTGCAGGTGCCGTTGTGAGGTAGAGGGCGAGAAATTCTCGGTCGGGGATGAAGGTGAGCGGGGTCGTGGTGCCTTCAATAAACCAAGCGAAGGATCTGGGCGGGAGATTGGACCGAGTGAGTCCCGCGGAGGAGTTGGTGGTATGTTCCCTGCCTCGATCTTCGACCAGGGATCACTCCAGCGATGAGGTGAGTGAGGTGGTTCACCAGTGCGTGGGGGTCGTCCGAGGGGAATGACGACTCGGGGTGATTCTTCTCCACGCTCAGATTTCATCTCTCGTTCAGCTTCCTCCAATTCTTCTTGCGTAAGTTCCCCTTCGTCGGGTTCGGCGGTCCCCCATCCTCCCGTGGTGACCGTGCCGCTGGCGCTGGCTCCCCATGCTCCAGTGGCGGATGCCCAGGTTGCGCCGTCTTCTGGTTCGTAGTCTTCATCTCCCCATGCGCCTCGTCGTGCTGACTCCTCATCCCATCTTGCTGCGACGCGCTGTTTGTACAGCTTTTGCTTCTTTTCCGCCCGGGCTTTGTCTTGTTCTTCCTTAACGCTCAGCTCTCCTTTAGCGTCAAGATCCTTCCAAGCCGGATCGATCTCGCAGCGGTAGACTTCACGAGTGTATGGGCACGGTCGTCCTTCTGCATCGAGAGTTCCAGTGTTGGCTCGGAGGACGAACCGGAGCGTTTCCGAGTATGGCGCTGGTCGCTCCACTCGCTGATGTCCGAAGTCATCGTTTGGCTCGCCGAAGATGCGGTAAGGCGACACAGCGAGTTCTTCTGCAGCCATGCCTGTCGGTTCTGCTTCGGCACTCTCCGCTTCCTGGATTGCCGCGTACTCCCTTTCAACTTGCTCCGTTCGGCTTGCCATGGGTGTGTGGCAGGTGGTGCAGAGACCATTGGTGTCCGGCTCGTGCAGGTTGACCTCGCGGGGGTGAGGGCTTCGGCGAACCCAAGGTCGTCCGTCTGGGTGCTCCCATGATTCCTTGCTCATGTAGGCGAACTCGAGAGGGACGAGGTCCACGAGCTCGTCGGATGATGCTTGGCAGGAAGGTATGTCGGAGTCTATGACGTAGATCCCGTTGATTGAGCAAGCTCGTCCGAGGTATTTGAACGATTCGGGAGGGGTGTCTGGAGGAGCGTAGGTGAGGATGAGGTCGCGTGTGGCTAGGTCCGTGGTGAGAATGACGCCGCAGTCGCAAATTTGTCGTGCCGAGAGGAGATTAAAGCGAAGATTTGGGATGTAGAGCACATCATTGAACGAGATGTGTGTGTTGCTGTCTCTTGCTTGCAGGACTACGATGCCTTGCGCATTGGCGCGCAGCTGCTCGTTGTTGGTGACGGTGACGTAAGTTGCGGGGGCGCGACTCAGGTTTGAGACGTATCGCGTGGATCCCACCATGTGCTGTCCACAGCAGCTGTCCAGGTACCAGGTGTTGTGGTTGTCGGTGTTGTTTCTGCGCAGGAGTAGCGCAAGTCGCGGGGTCACCAGGGTTGCCTTGTAGCGTCTGTGAAAGGAGGGGTCTTCGTCTTCCTTCCATCCCACTGGTACGTATCGCTGGTTGTCATGTGGCGGGCTTTCCCGCAATGTAATTGGCTGATTCCAATCCTGCTCGTCCTCGTCGTATAGGTAATAGTGGTCTTTAGTGAGGGGTTTGTTCCAACCCTCTTCTGGTTCAAGGAGTCTTCCTTGGATCTCATTCTCTTCGTCCGGTTCAGCAGTGCGTCGGCGACGTGTCGCCTTGTTCGCAATGACGTTTCAGGGGGTTCCTGATTGAGGTCCTTGCGTTTGCTGATGTTGGTGTTGTGCAGGGGGACGAGATGTCTGATGCTGAGGCTGAAAATGCCGAGCGTCTTGTCGGCCGACCCAGTTGTTGTGGTGAGTGGAATTTGGGTGGCGATAGTTGGATCGGGATATGCATCGATCCGTTGAATGTCCGAAAACTTAGCATATTTTGCAATAATGGCGCATTGGTTGTCGTCGCTCTTCACGGTTGTCTGCGTAGAAGGCGAGGCGCTCTCGGCGCGGCGCGGAGCTTGTTCTGCTCGAGTCCATGTCCTGCTGTTCAGTCAGGAGTGAGGCACATAGTGCGGCTTCTGAGATAATTCCTCGCTGTCGGAGTAGCGCTTTGCAGGGCTTCCACTCTGGCCCGAGTCCTTGAAGGACTATGTTGACGAAGATCTCTTCCGAGATTGCGCTCCCATGCTTCGTGATCTGGTCACGGATGTTGCGACAGCGGTTAATATAAGAATTCGCTTTCTCCCCGTGCCCCATCTTTGTCTCCATGAGTTGCTGCAGGAGCCTGCTGGCTGTGACCAAATCCTTCGGCTGATATACCTCAACGAGGTGCTTCCAGGCTTCCAGGGCTGGAGCGGCACTCTCTTTGTAGGAGCAGATGCTTAGTTGCTCTGCAGGCGTCATGTTACGTAGCAGCACACTATACGCCATGAGGGACTCGCTATAGTACTGAGCCCTGGCGTCGTCGGTGTCGTCCACCGGTTTAGAGTAGGAGCCGTCGAAGTAGTGGTAGATCTGCGCTGTCTGTAGGAGGAGCTCAAGCTCAAAACTCCATGTGTAGAAATCCTTGCCGTCAAACGCAGCGATGGTCTTGATTTTTGAAACGCTCAGAAAGCGTGCTTGCGCAGAATTAATGACTTCATCACCTGGACGGGGGGCGGTTGTTGTTGATTTGTCTGTGTCGAGGGAGAAGGTGTGCGCGGCAGTATCACGGCTTTTCGTGGCCGGTTGTCCAGGTTGTGCTGGTTGGGAGGAGGTTCCCGCATCGCCTTTGCGCAGGTCTTGGAGTTCTTTCTCCATAGTTGAAAGTCGAGCGAATAACTGCTCGAGTGCGGCAGTGCCGATCGTAGTTGTCGCCTCATTTGTCGCAGCCGGGTTGGTTTGTCCTTCGGCCGTCAGATTTGCTTGGCCTCCGGATCCTCCGGCCATCTTGGTCTTGGAGCGTGTGCCGCTCGCCAAATCTTGGTTCGGCGAATTTCACGGAAGTGATGTTGCGAAGAATCCCTGAGTAGCTCTCATACCATGTTACAATCCCAAATGGGACTTAGCGAAGGATCGCTCAGGGTTGATCGCAGAGTAGTGTCGCAGCGGAAGTTTGAATCGCAGGTCAGAGTGAATGTAAATGACTGAGTTGATAAAAGCATGCATACATCGGGTTTATATAGGAATACAAGGGAATACGAAAAGACCTAGACTAGCCATGTACTCTAAGGGGTACATTCCCTTATGACAGCAAATTCAAACCGTGCGGCGCGGGAACCCGTTTTGAACCTGTTCCCGCTCTTTTCACTTCAAATGTTTCTGCCTGCATCGGTCTTGGTCAGACGGTTGCTGTGTCGCTTCGACTCTTCTGACTCCTCGACTTCGTACTCGGTAGAGTCGGATCCTGCAGCATACAGGAATGCCTTCTCATAAAACTTCATATCGTAACAATGATCAACCCTGATTTCCATAGTTGCCAAAAAATACAACTCTGAAAATCCGAGTAGTGAAAATAAAAAAATGCGTGCTCTATATATTTGCAACGCGATACCATACCAGTTATGCACCTTCTCTCTATGAGAGAGTGCGCTTTAGTGATACGTTCTGGACTGCCAGTACAGCATTTCGGTTATTCCAACATATGCGAGCAGTAAACCCGTTTACGAAAGTGATTTTCCTTACATTATGTTTCGAATTATGGGGCAATGTAGACCTTTTTTTTGTTATCTTGGTTGGTTAGGTGCACTTCTAACGGTTTTGCAAATATGTTATGAAAAAATCACCTCATAACGCTTACTAGATGGATGCCGCTTGTTTTTTCTTACTGGCAAGGTTATCGACGGTTCTCCGGATTATACGCGTTGACATTATCCCTCTGCCCTCAGCAAAATGTATTCCTGTCGATCGTCAATCCTGGACCGTCGCTTGCCCAAAGAATTTTTATCGACCGCGAGATCGACCATCAGACAATCCAACTGCCTCTTCGATTTATCGCCGTCTTCCCTCGTTATTTGCGTCTCAAAATTCCGCGCTGTCCCCCTTTCTTTCCCTCTCCCTAGTGACGCGGTGCCATCACCTCTGTCGTAGTTATTTGTTATTGTTCTTACTTTTCTCGTACTACCAGTAGTTGTAAAAACATACCTGCTCGACACGCGTCACAACCCGGTATCGTCGTTCCTCAACGTACCCAGTGTAGTATCGTCGCTCTGCTCCTGACGTCACGTCCCCCGGCGCCAGTGCCTCGGTCAGTATCCGCGACGTGCTTCGGTGTCCAACGCGACTCGGCGTTTCTTAGTGTTCCCTGTTTGTAAATCATTGATTCGTGCTTTGCTGGTTTGCTTGTTCCTACTGTTTATTTGTTCCATCATTGGCACCTTCTTTCTCCTGCACCCTTCAGGAAGTTTCTATTTGCTGAAGTCGTTCACAGCGGAACCCTAACTGACTTTCGTCAAACTAGTTCGCGACCATGAAAAGAACGCGCCGGAAAACATCGTTAAAGGATGAAACGAAAGGCAGTCGCCTGCTGTCGCTCCCGGACGACCTCCTTCTGCTGCTTCTCGCCCGGGTGAACCACCCCTGCGATCGCTGCAGCGTCGCTCTCTCCTGCTCCCGCCTCCGCCGCACGCCCCACTCGCTCAACCTCTTCTTCGTCTCTCCTTATCAGTATCGCAACGTGCGCACCTTTCTCAAAGATTTCGACGATTTTTCGAGGGTATTTACCCATATCATCTCACTGAGCGTGGAGGTTTGCTCGATACGGGGAAGTGAGCTGCTGGCACGTGTCGGTGCGAGCTGCCCGAAACTGGAAAAGTTGAAGCTCGTGGCGAAATGGGGGGACTTCCACATGAACGCTGCTGCGTGGACGAAGCTCGCCAAGCAATGCCGGTGAGTCGCGTCTCTCGTCCTCGCTATTGACACTTGACTCAGCTCGTTCCCATAATGAGTCACACGATCGACCATTCAAGCTCACGACGGAATGACCTTTTGATTTTCCTCCTTCCCCTTCCCTCCCTCCTCTCCTCAACGCCCCAATGCCGTCACTCTTTTTGAAGCTCGTACTTTATTTCTCTTGTTCCTCTCCTCTTCCCTCCTGCTTTCCCCCTTCCGCTTTTCCCGTCCCATTTTCTCTTCCCCTTCCCTCTTTCCCCTTCCCTCCTTCCCCTGGTCTACCTCGCATGCCCTCTCCTCCCACCTGGCAGCCTCGTGACATCGCTGGAGCTCGACTCGCCATTCGCCCGGAGCCCCATCATCTACCGACATTCCACTGGCACCGCCCTCCCTCCCATCCACGCCTTCCCCGCTCTTCACTCCTTCGCTCTCCTCATCACTGCCTCGAAACTAAACCCCCTCAACCGCTGCTCCTCCCTCACCTCCCTCACACTCTGGAACCCCCTACCCTCCACCCTCTCCTCCCTCGCCTCCTCCTCCTCCTCTGTCCGCGCCTCCCTCAAGTACCTCACCCTCCACTCCGCCAAGCTCGTGTCCTACCTCTCGCCCCTCGCATACTTCCCCGCCCTCGCCTCTCTTTCCTTCCTCGCCTGCACCGTCGACCCTTTCGAGCTGCATGCCCTCGCTCGCTCCCTACACACGCTCACCCACCTCACTATTCACGACTGCCCCTTGGTCTCCAGCCACGCCCTCGCAGCGCTGGTTGAAGCCAACCCGGCTCTCGCCTCCCTCGCCCTCCACGGCACCACCTACCGCCTCTTCAGCGCCCCGCCCTTCCGCTCTCTCCTCCTCCTCTCCTCGCCCCGCCTGCACACGCCCGACCTCTCAGGGCTGCCGTCCTTCCGCCCTGGCATGCTGGCCCCTTGCAGTGGCCTGCACTCCCTTGCGCTGACAGGAATGCCCGAGGAACTTGCAGCGCCGGGTGGGGGGGATGCTGAGAGTCGGAGTGGAGAAGGGGAGGAGGAGAGAGGGAAGGAGAAGGGGAAGGGGGAGGGACCATGATGCATCAACACGTGTCATTTGAGAGTTTCGTGGGCCTGCTGGTGCGCGTGGTGCAGAGGGGAGGAGAGGGAGGGGAGGCTGGATGGGACGTAGAAAGGGATGGAGGGGTGGTTGGGGAGGCGGGTAGATGGGAGGAGTGTGAAGCAGAAGAGGTTGGCAGGGGGGAGGGAGCGAGTGAAGCTACAATGACTGCTGATGCCGCACTAGCAAGAGTAGGAGCAGCAGGGCCTGCGGCAGAAGCACGAGCAGTTAACCCTCGAAGTGGAGAAAGGCGAGTACATGTGGACGTTCGAACGGCGGCAGCAGCAGCCCGAGCAGACCTGATAGAGTCAAGTGGAGACGTGGTCGCTCTCTTGGATATGGCCCAGGATTGCCACATAGCCGTGCCTTCTGCTGCTCACTGGGCTCGCCTGGCACGGGCACAGCGCCGAGATGACGTGTCGGAGTTCAAATACGCCACTGGTAAGATCAGGGCGGGCATCTCAACGTGGCGGGCGCTGCGAGTGGCAGCGTCGCAGAAAATCGCTGCGACAGAGCGGGAGGATGCACTGAGTGAGGCGTTTGCTGCTGCCACGACTGCGGGCGTGCTTGTTGACACGTGGAGCAGGGTAGGCGAGGGCGAAGGGGGGTCGGCTCGTTTGGAGGACTTTGATGGGATGGTGCTGGACCATGACTTTGATGGGATGGTGCTGGACCATGACTTTGATGGGATGGTGCTGGACCATGACTTTGATGGGATGGTGCTGGACCATGACTTTGATGGGATGGTGCTGGACCATGAATTTGATGGGATGGTGCTGGACCATGACTTTGATGGGATGGTGCTGGACCATTACTTTGATGGGATGGTGCTGGACCATGACTTGCCTGCTAACGGTGCTGATGGGGTTGAAGGGAGTGAGGATGAGGGTGAGATTGGGGGGTTTGCTGCTGGGGTTGACACGCAGGTGCATGCGCTGGGTGTGATGGAGTCGCTGCTGCAACAGTTTTACGAGCAGGGCAATGCGGCGACAGAGAGCCTCAGGACCATGCGCATGCCTCGTGCAACTGCTGATGCTGCTGATGCTGCCCCTGATGCTGCTGATGCTGCCCCTGATGCTGCTGATGCTGCCCCTGATGCTGCTGATGCTGCTGATGCTGCCCCTGATGCTGCTGATGCTGCCCCTGATGCTGCTGATGCTGCTGATGCTGCCGCTGATGCTGGTGATGCGGCTGGTGGTGCTGCTGATGTTGGTGATGCTGGTACTGCGGGTTTTGCTGCTGCTGCTGCTGCTGGTGCGAGTGCTGCGGCCACAGAAGCAGCACCAGCAGATGGAGCAGCAGTAATCGGGGATGCAGCCGCAATAGCGGAGCAAAGGGGAGGAGGAATATCACAGCCACAAGAAAGAGGGATGCAAGGGGAGGTAATGCAAGGGGAGGTAATGCAAGGGGAGCTAATGCAAGGGGAGCTAATGCAAGGGAATAAAGACTCAAGGGAGGGAGGACAGTCAGGCCGCAGAAAAAACAGTGGCAAAATGCACTTAATGGGCAGCAGCAGAAGGGCACAAAATCTGGGAGGTAAATCGAGTGGCATCTCTGGTGGGATTCCCGTGGAGGTGGTCTGCCCTCCCTTACACTCCTTGACCCTAGAGGCCTTTCACTTCATCTGCACTCCCAAGCCTACCTGGCCGCCTCCATCCCTTCCCTCTGAATCGCCTCTCATGTGCCTCTCTTCCGCTCCTGCATCCCTTCCCTCTTCCTCTTCTTCCTCTTCCCGCCCCACTTCTCGTGTCTCTCCCGCTGCCATGTCAAGCCCAAGCTCTCAGCCGCAGTCCTTTGAGTCCGTTGCACTTGCTGCTGCTTTTGGGCGGCTGAAGCGCCTCACACTGGTGTCGTGCTTCGGGCTGAAGGAGGAGCAGTTGGTGCTGCTGCTGCGTTCTTGCCGCGTGCTGGTGGCCCTAACCATGGAACGCAGTGAGGACTTTTCAGATTGGGTGGTTGCAAGAAGCAGATTGGATATGCTCACACATTTGACCATGCTTGAGTGTGATGCGATCACTGCAGACTGCATTGGACTGCTGCTGGGAAGCTTTCCAAAGCTGCATGAGTTGAAGGTGGAAGCAAGCAAGGTTGGTGAAAGGGCTCGCAGAGTTTTGTTTCATGCGGGCGTGGTTCTGATTCATGGGTGATAGTGCTGCGGAATGGAGCATCTCATGTGCATGTCAGATGATTTGTGTCGAAGGGTGTTTAGTGGCGAGCAGATTCCAATGATTCATAGGGAACTCAAATTGTTTCATGGTGCTATTCCTTAAGTCCGTGCATGTATGCGCCCATAGCTAAGCACAAAGTAATGTGCGCTTATGGTAGGATACTACCATAACTGTTAAGGGGCAAGTGGCACTAGGAAATCTAGGAAGATAAGGATAAGGGTGAGTTGGAAAGTACTGTTCAAAGTGAACAGTAAATCCCCCCTTAACAATAACAGATTTGTATGTGGTAGGAACTTATTTTATAAGAATATAAAATATCAATTCGATATTGATTTGGCCCATAGCAGAACACGCGCTGGAGCGGGGTTCCCGAAGTGTGCTTGTTCGGTTTCCCGCGTCCAACCTCACCGCCCCTACAGAGAACAGTTCTTTTTAGCGGTTCGGCCCCGTTCCTGACATCCCCGCCGCGCTAATTACTGTACTATGGTTAGCTGCGAAAGTTTTGTTGTAGGCAGCCCAGTGGTCTATCTGTCGCGGTGGGATGTTGGAATGAGCTCCAGCGATAGATCCTGGCGTTTAGACGCTGCAACTCGGTGCCACATGTTTTCGAATGCGCCTTGTGCTGCTGACATCAATTAGATTATCTCGGCAAGTGTTTTTTCTTCTTGCTCCGCATGATTATTATGGTCAGGACTTGTCAACGAATAAAAAAGCTAGGGCAGGGCAACCTAACGACAACATCTGACGCGCAGCCCCATTTCATCCATCACCTTCGCTTTTCCCCCCCATCACCGAGCCCAACCCTCTCACACGAGTCCAATTTCTCCTCCCAACTCGAGCACTTGTTCAAGAATCCACATCCCTCCAGTAGCAGCGCCAAAGAGCCAAATCCACGTCTTGGTGTCCATCAACTCGTTGTTAGACGCGAGTGAGAAAGCAGAAAGCAGAGCGAAACTTTATCCTTTTATTTGCGTACAAAACATCGTGACCGTAGGCCATCGTTACATTGCTGATTCTTACGACACGAGTCCAGCACGAGATGGATGACAGTAGCGTGCGTCTTTCGTTGCGACACGGAGCGTCAGTCGCGGAAATATCGAAGCGCCTCGAGTCGTTCTTCGTCAATCTCGAGGCTTCTCTCGTCTGGTGCCCTGTAGGATCCGCGACAGGGGGAGCGCTTCCCAAGACCCGCGACTCGCAGCCGTTACTACCTCAAACCACGTCGCAGGCTGAGGCTGCACCGACGACAAACGACACGCCTTCCACTGCCTGCAAAAGAAGTAGTTTTCGCAGAGGCGTCGCGTGCGTCGCGAGCGTCGCCTGCGAGGCCGAGGGTGGAGGGGCCATGGGGGACGGCCTGAGGATGCGGAAAGTAGGAGTGGAGGCGGAAGCGGAACTGCACGCAGCAGCAGAGTTGTGCAAACAAACTCCGCTTGCGGAGCTGCGCACTCTACCCGCTACAGCGCCAGCGGAACTGCGCACAGCCGATGCTTTGCGCGCAGCCACTCATTTGCAATCAGACGTCACGGCAGCGCGCACCGTGTTGGCGGATGAGTCGCGCTGCCCGCGTTTGTCGGAGCTTTATGAGGTTGGCCGCGAGTTGGGACGCGGCCACTTCGGGGTCGTGCGACTGTGCGAAGACCGTGCGACGGGCGAGCGTTTCGCGTGCAAGACGATACTGCTGAGCGGCGTGCGGGTGAGTCGCACAAAATGTCTCTTTTGCGTACTCCTCCTCCTCCTCCCTTCCCTCCCTCTATCCCCGGACCTCCCGCACACGCGACAAACCCTTTGTCCTTTCTCCGCGTTCCTCTCCACCCTCGTTCCCCTCATTTTGCCTCCCCAAGCCTCCGCGCCGCCATCCTCCTCTCCCAGCAAATGCCGCGCTCTCGCCTCCTTCCCTCTCTCCCTAGATCCTTCCGGTGACTTCGTGAAGCTGCGGGCGGAAGTTTCGTCCCTGCTGCTCTCAAAGAAGCCCAACCCCCCCTCCCTTCCCCCTTTTTTCCGCCCGCAAACCTTTCCCCCCGCACGCGCACCCCGTCTTCCCCAGCGTCTCAGCGACCTTATGGAGCTGAAGGGGCAAGCTTCTTCGAAGACGCCTCTCCAACCTATTCCCCCACTTCTTCCCCCCCCCACCCCCCTTTCGGTCTCTCTCGGCCCCAGCGCCGCAGCGACCTCATGGAGCTGAGGGCGGAAGTGCTGTCGCTGCTGCGCCTGCAGGAGGGGGAGGGGGAACGGGGGGGGAAAGAACAGGGGGCAGGGGAGCGGGAAGGGGGGGAATGCGGAGCAGGCAGCGCGGATGGGGAGCGGGAGGAGCTGGCGTTCGTACGGTTGTACGAGGTGGTGGTTGAAACGGGGACGGCGTTACATCTCATCCTGGAATACTGCCAGGGTGGCGATCTGTTTGACCTCGTTATAAGGCAGAAGCGACTTACCGAAGCACAAGCCGCCTCGGTATTCAGGTATTTATACGCTACGCATACGCTGGCGCATGTATGTAGCCGGCGCATACGCTCCCTCATTCTTCGCTACCGCCCTTTGCCTCTGCACCAACGATCTATTTGACCTCGTTATAAAGCAGGAACGAGTGAACGAAGCACAACTTGCAGCTCCGTTCAGGTGCACGCCCATCCCACAAAACCCCTTTATGTCCTCTAAACCCGCCCTTTCTTCATCAACCAACATCCCACCGCCTCAAACAAGAGAATACAGGCATAATTGGGTTGAGGGGTAACGAACGGCGTTCTGTTGAGGGCTACCTACTTTCCCCATTCATCCTTCTCCTCTTCCACACCATCCCCCCCCCCTCCCTTTCTTTCCCCCGTCCCATCCCCCCGCCCACTCGTGAGTGCATGATTTCGCCGTTGTTCATGCCCTGTGTTGTTTCCGCCCCTGCCAGAGGGCATGTCAGGAGTACCGATTCTCAACCACAGGGCATGTCAGGAGTACCGATTCTCAACCACCTCACACCCCCACGCACCACTGCCCTTGCGGAGACCATTCTGACTGCTGGATTCTCAGTTGTTCCTTGCCCTTCTTGCCTCCTCCTTGCCTCCTATTCCCCATGCTGTCCCCTCTCAGGCAGTTGCTGCTGGCAGTGCACGCCATGCATCGCATGGGCATAGTGCACCGCGACCTCAAGCCAGAGAACATACTCCTTAGTAGCGGCCCCGGTGCTTGTAGAGGCCGTTGCACTGTAGCTGAGTGCAACTGCAGTGAAGATGGGGGTAGTGATGCCAGCGTTGACAGTAGAATCAGTGGGAACTGCAGTGGGGGGAACAGCAGCACCAGCCAGGGATGTTCCCATTGCAGGGAAGGTTTCAAGACTGATACGACTTGCAGTGGTGACACGCCTCCCTCGTTACAGTCACTTAAAGATTCCATAAGTTCAGTCCCGTCTTCTGCTAGACATAGCAGCAGCAGCACAAGCACTGGGAGGAGGAGCAGCAGCAGCAGTAACGGCACAGGGAGCAGCATAAGGGAAACTTCTTTGCAGTCTTCGCCCTCACCTACTCTCCCAGCATCCTCTCCCTTCCTCCCGCTTCCCTCACCACCTCCCTCCCCTGCTCTCCCTCCATCATCTCCCTCCCCTGCTCTCCCTCCATCATCTCCCTCCCCTGCTCTCCCTCCATCATCTCCCTCCCCTGCTCTCCCTCCATCATCTCCCTCCCCTGCTCTCCCTCCATCATCTCCTTTCCACCTCTCACGAAACTCCCACCCACCACCCCCCTCTCTCGCCTCCCATCCCTCCTCCCCCTGTCTTTCTCTTCCACCCTCTTCCCCCACCGCTTCCCTTTCTCCTCTTGCACCTCCTCCACCTCCTTTTCCTCCTCTCTGCTCGTCCCCTCCTCCCTCTCCGGTCACCACGGCAGCCAGCCCCCCTGTGTGTCCCTGCACGGCAATGAGAGTCAACGTGGCTGATTTCGGTCTGGCAGCAACGCCCTCTTCTCCCACCACTACTCCTCCTCGTACCATCACGGCAACCAGCCCCCCTCCCTGTCCCTGCACGGGCATTCAAGTCAAGGTGGCGGATTTCGGGCTGGCAGCGACGCTGTCGCGCGGGCAGACAGCGGCGTGTGGGGTGGTGGGCTCGCCCTTGTACATGGCGCCTGAGATCATCCGCGGGAGGCCCTATGCGGGGGAGGTCGACATGTGGAGCCTCGGCTGCGTTCTCTACACCTGCCTGTCGGGTACGTTGCAATTTATACACATGGTATGGTAATCTGGTTGTCTGGTTCTTGCCGGTGAGATCACACAAGAACCCCCTTTTCAAGAAGCTGGTGAGAAGGACATGTGAAGGTGCTGCCTGCTGCACATCCCTCACAATATTCGCATCTTACCGCTGAATGTGTTTGCCATCTTTCAATCCCACTAACATTTCAGGTACTGTGCCTTTTCACGGGAGGACTCACCATGAGGTTTTCGCTTCGGTGTTAGGTTCGGCGCCGGACTTGAAAGGCGAGGTATGGGAGGGCATTTCGAGGGAGGCTAAGCAGCTGTTAAGGTGTCTGCTTGTAACGGATCCTGGGCGAAGGCTCAAGGCTCATAAGGTGCTGAATCACCCGTGGGTGAGAGCAGCGTGTGGAGGCAAGTGTGGGCGCCACGAGAGGGAGTGGGGGAAGGAAAAGACGAGGGAGAACGGAGAGGGAGTGGTGCGGGAGGGGGGTAGTAAGACTGACTGCAGGGGCGGAACGGGTGAACGCAGGAGTGGGAAGGGTCTTACAGCAGAGGGGAAGGTGAGTGGTGGAGTGGTGCATGTGGAAAAGGCGTGGTTGGAAACGCATCCAAAGGACGGCGCGAATGGGCAGCATGTGGTGGGGTGTGCGGAGTGCTGCGCTGGGTGCCATGCAAGCAAACCCCACACTTGCTGTCAGAGCCGCAGTGCCGATGCTGCTGGCAGGCTAGCTGTGCAGGAGAAGGTGGGTGAGAGTGCAAGCAGGAGTGAGAGTTCACCAGAGGTGGAGCAGGTGCACAGGCTGACCACGGGGTGTAGCAGTGGGACAAGTGTCAGCGCTACGGCGCGTCACGTTTCCTTGCCTTTCAACCCAGAGCCACCGGAACAGAGCACACGCCATAGTGAGGCAGCCGTGAGAGGGGAGGTCGAAGGACAGGAAGCGTGCTGGGAAGCAACAGTGCAGGATTTCATTAGAGAGGTGCACGTGGTTAAGGCATGTGTGAAAAGCCACGGAGTGGAAGGCGAGGTTGGGCAGCATGAGGTGGGGCATGAGGTGGGTTGTCCTGATTGCCACCCAAGCAGTCCCAACAGTCTCTGCAAAAGCAGCCATGCTGATGCGTGCTGTCAGAGCAGCAGTGCCGGTGCTGCTGGCAGGCTAGCTACTCAGGAGATGGTGCGTGGGAGTGAATGCAGGCGCGAGGAAACAGGAGAAGAGGGGAAAATGGCTGGGCTGACCAGGGGGAGTGGGAGTGGGAGCAGGAGGAGAAGCATTGGCACTGAGGCGAGTCACACTCACACCTCCTCGCCTTTCAATCCAAACCTACAGGAAGAGAGCAGACGTGGGACTCACCGTAGAGGTGGAGAGGAGGTGGAGGGTAAGGAGGCGTGTTTGAAAGCATCAGTGCATGAATGTGCTGCGCAGCGGTGCAGTGAGGCTGCAGAGGTAGACATCTGCTCTCCAGGTGGTGCTTGGGGTGCTGGCTGCTGTGGGAGTATCGGTCCCACTGACTGTAGCACCGTTGATTGTAACACTGCTGACTGTAACACAGCCTACTGTATTACCGCTGAATGTAGTCCCACTGACTGTAGCACCACTGACTGTAGCACCACTGACTGTAGCACCACTGACTGGAGCACCACTGACTGTAGTCCCACTGACTGTAGCACCACTGACTGTAGCACCACTGACTGTAGCACCACTGACTGGAGCACCACTGACTGTAGCACCACTGACTGTCACACCACTGACTGTAGCACCACTGACTGTAGCAGTGGTTGCAGTGGGGTTGGTGAGACTACATTGACTGGCAACAGTGGTGCTGGCAGTGGCAGCAGTGACGCTGGTGGTGGTGGCTTTTATTACAGCTGCAGTTGTTATGACAGTGGTGACAGCTGCAGCAATGACAGCAATTCAAAGAGTAGATGCATTGGCAGCAGCAACAGCAGCAGTCACTGCCTATGTACCAAGAGTGCAAGAAGTGATATTGGTGATGGAAGAAGCCCCATTTGCTGCAAGGGCGGAGGAGACAGTGGCTGCAGTCACAGTCGCCTTGCTTGGAGGATGAGTGGCAAGATGTTTATGTGCTATGGCAGCGGAGGTAATAGTGGTGGTGGCAGTGGCAGTGGTGGTGGCATTGGCAGTGGTGGTGGCATTGGCAGTGGTGGTGGCATTGGCAGTGGTGGTGGCAGTGGCAGTGGTGGTGGCATTGGCAGTGGTGGTGGCATTGGCAGTGGTGGTGGCAGTGGCAGTGGTGGTGGCAGTGGCAGTGGTGGTGGCAGTGGCAGTGGTGGTGGCATCAGTGGTAATGTTGGTTTCAGCATGATGCACCAGATACAGCTGTCAAGTAGTGTGGGTGTACTCTCAAGTTTCTTTTCTCTCTTCTGTGCTTGTGGTTGCAGCCAGTGGCCATGGGTTGCCATGTGGTTACAGATAGCAAGTTGTGTGTGTGTAAAATTTGTACATTCCCCTATTTTCCCAGCTGGTATTGGCTGAAAATAATAATAGCAGCCCTTGTCTCTGATAGGCTATAATGAGTAGGGCTGTGGGGAGTACAACACTTTCTAGGGTTAGTATTTGTATCTCCCATCTTGCTAGTCACATCATTCCGTTGTCACTTTGGTACCACGAGTAGGTAACGCTCCGAGCCTAGCCTAGCCCGCCCCGCCCCGTTCCCTTGCCTAGCCCGCTCCGTCCCGTTCCTTAGCAGGCCGCGCCCTGCCCCGCCCCACTCGTAGCCAGCTGCGCACAGCGTGCTGCCCCGTCTTGCCCTGTAGCCGCGCACTGCCTGGTCCCGTTCCGCCCCGCGCTGCCCGCCCCGTGCGCTGCACTCCTCGCGCTGCTCAGCCCGCACTACCCGCCCAGTTTCACGCGGCCCGCCCCGCGTTGCCCGCCTTGCATTGCCTGGCCCGCGATACCCGCCCCGTTCCGCGCTGCCCGTCCTACACTACCCACCCCGTCCCGTCAAGAGCAGCCACGCGCGCTGCCGCACACACGTAGCCGCGCACAACTAGCCGCACTCACGTAGCTGCACGCGCAGCAGCAGCCACGCACTACCAGCGCCCTGTACAGCAGCAACTGCGTGCGTAGCAAGCAGCCGCACGTATGCCAGCCGCCAGGCGCACAGCGGCACGCGCACTGCTGCACGCGCACCAACAGCAGCGCACGCGCCTGCCGCCGCCGCATGCGCAACTGTACCTACTGCGCCCACAGCTGCAGCACCCTTCCACGCCCCTCCGGCAGCGCACCTGCTGCCATAGCCATTCCCCGCGGCGGCTGGCCGCCGCAGTCGACCTCCCTAGGGCACGTTAGGGTTAGTGCCTCTCCGTGCCTGGCGTCTCTAGCCCTATCAGTGTGGCAGTCTCGTGACGCGGCTGCTTGCATTGCACTCGGCATCCTTCTCCGCGAGTCTGAGGAGGCTCACTTCACCCAGGTTCGATCCGCCAAGGACATGTTCACTGCGATTAAGACCCATCATTCCACTCCCTCCTCCGCCTCTCTTGGTCGCTTTGCCGTTTTTGTCTCCCGAACTAGGAGCGTTTAACCGCGCTTCTGACCTTCTCACCCACCTGCGCTCGCTCGATGTCAACCACCGTGCTGCTTGCACCAAGGCTGAGCTGCACTACTCCCCCTGCCCATGGCGATCACTATTCACTTCATCGTCATTAGCCTCCTTGGCCGCCTTCCCCTGTTTGTGACGTGCTTCTTCGGAGGCACCCTAGTGCGCTCACTATTGATGTCCTTCAGACGGCTCTCAAGGACATCGAGAGCAACATCCACTCCGTTGCCTCAGCATCTGCCGCTGTAGTTCCCCCACTCCTTACTCGTCCGGCCACCGCACCCTTCCAAACCCTCCACTTGGACGTTTGGGGCCCTGCCTCTCTCCTTGGGCCCGAGAGGGAGAGCTTTTTTCTGGTGGTCGTTGGCGACTACTTTGGTTACACCACGGTGTCCCTCTTGGCGAAGAAGTCCGACGTGATCATGGAGATCTCCCGCACCTCTATGATCCATGCCCGTGCTCTCCATTTTCTGTGGCCCTGCAGTTTGCTACGCTGCCCACTAGCTGAACCTATGGCCTCGTGTCTCACAGCCAGAGGCTTCACACACCAGACTTGGGACCAGGTCCCATGGTGCTGCATCTGAGTATCATGTCTGGGGTTGCCTTGCACTTGTCCGCGTCACCTCTGCAGACAAGCTCTCAGCTCGCTTTCTCCCTTGTGTCTTCCTTGGTTTCCCGGTGAACACTCTGAACTCCTCGGTAGCACGTCAGGTACCACCCAGTCACCACAACAGCCGTCGGCACTATCGTGACAGTTCACAATGGACCCTGGGGGTGTTGGTGTTGGAGGCATGGGCGCTGGAGGTGCTGGTTCAGAGGGTGCTGGCACTGGAGGTGCTAGTTTTGGGGGTGCTAGAGCCGAGGGTGCTGGTGCTAGTTCTAGGGGTGCTGGAGTTGGAGGTGCTGGCACTAAAGGTGCTAGTTCTGGGGGTGCTGGATTTGGAGGTGCTGGCACTGGAGGTGCTAGGTTTGGGGTGTTGGAGATGGAGGTGTTAGTGCTGAGGAGACTGGAGGTGTTGGCACCAGAGGCACCGCTACTACGGCACCTACCCCACCTCCCCACCGCTACCCAACGCGTTTCCAGGAGGTTCGTCAGCTGGAGCGTGAGCAGCAGGAGAGATTGGAGTAGGAGAGACTGGAGCTGGAGTAACAGCAGCAAGAGCTGCAGCAGCAGGAGCTGCAGCAGCAGGAGCTGCAGCAGCAGGAGCTGCAGCAGCAGGAGCTGCAGCAACAGGAGCTGCAGCAGCAGCAGCAACAACAGCAGCGGACACTACAGCCATCAGTTTTGCAGCAGCTGTTCCCTCATGTGAGTGGCATATGTGAGTGGCATACCCTTGGTCACCCTTCTTCCTCCTCGGACCACTCATCGCCTCCTACGGCACACATCCTTTCTCCTCTAGACTCGCCCACAGCTGTCTTCTCTCCTCCTCGATCACATTCGTCTCTTCCTATTGTCCCGCACGACTTGACAATTCACTATCTCATGCGTGCTCGTCCCTTGTCTCCTTATGACGACCTTTGCATTGTCTTGTTTTCTTCTAGTCCTTGTCATTCTCCGCCTCAGACTATTCTCCTGTCACCTCTTGAGTCGTCTCTTACAACCTCCTCCCACCCTATCACTGGCTACTACCACACTGCTTGTCCTACTGTCTCCCTGTTCTCGCCTCTCTTATCAAGGACCCTACTACTTCTTCGTTGTCTGTCTCGGCTCTTGTTACCGTTGCTGCTGAATTTGCCACCACCCGCCGCCTTGACTACGCCACCCGCGTGGTGGACCGTCCGCCGCGGGTGAGTTTGCCCTTGGCTGTGACGTCCTAGAGGATACGCAGTTTGAGCTGGAGGCCTTGGCAGCCGCTTCTCCCCACCTCTATGCCATGCTGCAAGCCCCTGAGGAAGACCTCGACGCCCTTGACATACCGACTCCTCGCACGTTCTGTGAGGCCGAGTCAGGGCAGAGGGGCTCTTAGTGGATAGAGGCCATGGACTCAAAGATGGCGTCTTGGAGATCCACAGGCACTTACGTCGAAACAGTTGCTCCTCCTGCGGCGAACGTATTCGATGGCATGTGGATCTTCAAGGTGAAGCAGCCGCCGGGATCGCCACCTATCTTCAAGGTGCACTACATGGCTAGAGGCTTCAGTCAGTGTGCGAGAGTTGACTTCTTCCAGACCTTCGCCCCAACCCCCAAGATGGCTACTCTTTGGGTGTTACTTCACGTTGCAGCAAAACAAGCCTATGAGCTGCACTCCCTCGACTTCTCCACTGCCTTTTTCCAGGGCCGCCTACACAAGGAGATCTGGCTGCGCGTCCTCTTGGCTTCACTGGCACTTTCCCGCCTCAGACCTAGTGGAGCCTAACTCGACCAGTCTATGATCTCCGCCAGGCGCCCCGTGGATGGCACAACCCGCTACGCACCACTCTTGCTGACCTCGGGGTCTGTCCTTCGTCTGTCGACCCGTTGCTGTTTGTCCGCGTTGGCTCCACTCCGTTCTTTGTTCTTGTCTATGTGGACAAGACACATGTACGCTGACCTGAGTGAACTGTGCCACTACCTTGGCTTGCAGATCACCAGGGACAAAGCCGCTCGCACCATTAGGTCACACATGGTGCAGCATGTTTGCAGTTTGAGTTCCAGTTTTTTTCACTAAACAACCCACTCCTCTTGCCGTCAATCATAGACTCATTGGCCCTTTTCTCTATGAACCCTTTGAGTCCAGTGGACCCTACGCAGAGCTTGTGGGCTGCCTCATGTACGTGATGGCCTGTATTCGTCCGGACCTCGCTCCTCCACTCAGCATCCTGTCTCGCTTTGTTGCGACAGGGAGACACCGTATGGCTGATGTGAGGATGGTGAAGTACATGGCGACTACATAAAAAATGGGGCTTGTGCTTTGGAGGGATACAGTCAGTTGTGCTAACCGATCACTGCGACTCTTCCTACGCCGGCGACGTGCAGACTCGGCGGTCTACACAGGACACTGTTCTAGCCTGGGCGCTGGAGTTGTGTCGTGGAGATCTACTTGGTCGTTGTCTGTGGCAACTCTAGTGCAGAGGCAGAGATCTACGCAGGTGCCATGGCTACGCAAGAGTTTCGCCGGTTGACCTTCTTGCTCACCGACCTTGGTGAGCGGCCGAGCACTACGCCGACCTTGTTCGCTGACAAAAATGCCATGATCCTCCTGTGTTGAGAGCCTCGACTCGAGGGCACACATGAACGTGAGGTACTTTCTCCTGTGAAAGTTGCAACG